ACCTCTAATGAAGGAGAAAGACAAACCCTGATTATCAATTTGAAAAGTATTAAACGAATAACTTTGACATCTGATAACAATTTAGTCATTGAAATTGAAGTTAATAAGACTGAAACCAATATTAATCAAAGCCAAGAAATTCAAGTTATAAATGATAACCAAATAAGTAGTAGTAAGGAACTCCAAAAAGTTAGAAATTACTTAAAAGAAAGTAGCGAAAAGAGTATTAACCAGCAAAAATTAAATAATATTCTTAACTCTAATAACACTAATGAACTAACTGGTAATTCTGATAATAAACACCTTCTAACCATAGGATTAAGTATAATTGCTGCCTTAACAATTGGACTAGCAATTAAATTATTCATCAAAAGAAAACTGACAAAAAAAATTTAGCATATAGGTAAATTAATTAGGATATGTCAAATAATAAAAAATGTAAAGAATAAAAAAAAATATGAATTACAATCAACATAATTTAGACCCAAAATTAAAATGTACGAAATGCCAAAAAGGATTACCCTGATTAAAGTGTAATCCTAACTTTTTCTGTTACTGGGTTAATGGTAATAAAGCAAATCATTATTGTGATGCCTGTCTGCCTCATGAATTCTTAGAGCAACGAATTGAACGAGAACATTTTAGGTGTAGTTGTTGAGGAGGAAGAGTGTTTAATAAATGCCATGATTTACGAAGGGACATTCGCAACAACCCCCTCTATTGAGGCGATGGAACTTTTAAATTTGAATGTTGTACTTGTGGTGGAAAGTTAGGAAAAAATGGTAAGAAAATTTATGAATGCGAGGAACCACATTGTGGGCAAAAGTTTTGTAGTGATTCCTGCCGGTCACGGAAGTGGCGTTGTCAGCAACCAAACCACCAAACTCAGAGCAATCAAAACTCCCCCAATGAAAACTTCGAACGAAGTCAAAAAGATTATCAACGGATTCACGAAAAAGCTCAAAGTTGATGAGATACTCTTTCCAACGCTGAAAGAGAAAAAGAATTGGTGAGGGTGGTGAAAAATTTGAAGTTAAGAAAATACTACGGAGGAAAACTATGGGAAGGAAATGAGGACATGGAAGGTTATGGTTCAGGATGAGTTCATGATGGTAGTTTTTGAAAAATTAAAAACGGAAAATATGTTTCCGATTCTCCGCATTTGGTTCCGTGCGAAATAGCGGAAGAGTTTATAAATAAAGAATTTGGAACTACTGATGGCTTATATGTGGATGGTATAATTACTTCAAGAAGGATTAAAAATAACCCACCATTAGAAATTGAAAATAGTGAAAAAAGCGGCAAAAAAAAATTAGAAATTATTAACAGCCATAAAAGTAGTAATGAAGTATTGGTTATTGATCTCAAAAGGGTTAAAAAGATAACTTTAAGGAACAATAGCAAGTTAGAAATTGAGTTTATTAGCATCCACAACAACCAAAATGTTAATGAATGTTATTTAGTAAACCAAGCTCTGACTAACAAGCAAGTGGATAATAGTCAAGATTTAAAAACAGTTAGAGATTACTTACGTGAAACTGGTAAAGATAGTTTGAACCACCAAGAATTGGCAGCAATTCTTAATCCTAGTTCAGTTCCAAGCGAAACATCTAAGGACACTAATAAATTTTTTTGAATAGGAGGATCAGTAATTTTAATACTCGGTTTTTTACTAGCGATAAGCAAGCGAAAGTGGAAAAAACACTAATTTTTCCCTATTACTAATTAATTGTCTAAAAAAATTTACTTTTTATTTTGGCAAAAAAAGAAAAAAGAGAATTTGAAATCAAACTCCAAGTTAAGGATAAAGATGGTGAAGTTAAGGTTTTAAAAAGCAAAACATTTCTAGAAATTACGTGGTATGGCGATAAGGGCATTTTAAACCCCGGAGAATTAGTAAACTATGATGATGAATATGGAAAAGGTAGTTATAGAGAAAGTAAAGGGGAGAAAATTCGATTTGAAAAAGATGGCAAGAGTTATGATATCATTATTAAGATTAATGAAATAAAAAAGGGGTGGTTCAAGGACAAAGTAGTCGAAACAGGAGGATTTTTCCCTGCTCCTGGTTCAGATTTTACAATTGAAAATAATGATAAAACTCAGAATTGAAAAATAGAACCAATGCAATTGAGATGAACAGGTCCGATATGGATTGCTGTTTTTTTAATTTTTCTAGGTATAGGTATCTATCTTTGAAAAAAGTATGGCGATTAGTAAAAATAATGTCTCGTTCTAAAAAAATGAATTTGCTTATTAAGGGAGAAAAAACTCCCTTTTTGCTTTTTAGTTGATTGTAAGGTAAAATTACACAAAAAGAGTTCTCCAATTCCTCCTAATAATTGAAACTAATCCTTTGAATTATTAGTTGATTTCCTTTCATCTCTTTTCTCATTCCAAATATTTCCCTGAATGTTTAATCAGTTGATAAATCTCTTTGGTTCATTTCTCATGTTCTTGGGCTAAATTTTATCATATCTCCCATTATTCAACCTTGAATCACTTTCGCAACTACTTTTATATGCTGGACTAACTGGATATAATGGGCTAATTCATGAGAACAGGCTCCAAATATTTTACCAAAAAAGGTTAAAATTGTTTAATCAAGGTTTTCTAATTTCGGCTTTGTAATAGACAATCAATTAACTGGTTCTTTTTTTAAATTAGTTAATAGATTATTAGTTTTAGAAAAAGGTCGGGAGCCAAAAAATCCATGTTCGGCACTATATGGGGAAGGATGAGCACTAATTACTACATAATTATTAGTTTGAGTAATGTTACATTGTTCGCTTATTTTGCGAGCTTTTTGTCCCCACAATATTCAGATAATTTCACGATTGTAACTATTTAAATATTTGAGTAACGAATAAATGAATTCTTCCCATAGTTTCATATGCGAAAGAGCTTGACCGTCTTTTACGGTTAATGCAGTATTAAGCAAAAAAACGCCTTCTTTAACTCATGGAAGCAAGTTGCTTTTGGTTGGAGGAGGGCAATTGAGATCCTGGCTAAGTTCAAGAAAAATGTTTTTTAAACTGGCCGGTACGTAATAGGGTTTTTGAGTGCTAAAAGCTAATCCATCTGCTACTTCTGGTAAATGATAAGGATCTTGTCCTAAGATTACTATTTTTATTTCATCAACAGAAATTTCTCGGAAAAGGCGAAAAATATTTTCTTTTCTAGGCCAGCATTTACAATTTTTGTATTCTTCGCTTATTTTAGTAAGTAAGGGGAAAAAGTAGTCCCTTTCTGATTCTTGTTGAAAAAAACTTTTTCAAGTTTGATCAATTTTGTCTAGACAAAACTCTTGCCACAAAAGGTTTTTATTCATTGCTATTTTTCTCCAAGATTTTTAAAGTTTTTTTAATAGTTTGCACTTTTTTTTCAGCTAAACCTTGCAGATAATTTTTATTTTTTTTCAAAATTTCTTTGATGCTAGAAAGGTAGTGATTGTATCTTTCTTGAATTTTTCCTAGTTTTTCATTGATTAACTCAATAAGTTTCAATTTAAATTGATGGTAAGTAAATCCTTGCAATTCTTTTTCTGCTTCATTTATTTCTTGATTATTCAGTAAAGCATAAATAGTTAAAAGGTTGGAAATACCCGGTTTTTTTTCTGGATTATAATAAATTTTGTTTTCACTATCGGTCTCGGCTTCTTTAACCTTTTTACTAACCATTTCAGATTTATCCAACAAAGTAATATAATCGTTTTCGCTTTTGGACATTTTTTTTCTAGGATTTTTTAATCCCATTATTCTAGCTCCGAAACGCGGAATAGAAAATTGAGGAACTTTCAACAATTGTTTTCCATAAAAATTGTTAAATTTTTGGGCGATATCATTAGTTAGTTCGAGATGTTGCCTTTGATCCTCTCCGACAATAACTAAATCAGCATCATAAAGAAAAATGTCCGTCGCCATTAATACCGGATAAGATAGAAGAGCCAAATTACCGCTTTCTTTTTCTCCTTTTTTTTCTTTATATTGTATCATGTCTCCCAATCTACCAACCGTAATATAAGGAGAAAGTAATCAAGTTAATTCAGCATGTTCTTTAATGTCAGATTGAATAAATATTTTACAATTCTCCTCTTTTAAGCCACAAGCGTATAGCAAAGAAGCAATTTCATAGCACTTTCCACGATAATCAAAATTAGACTTTGGAACAGTTAAAGAGTGCAAATCAGCTAGCATAATAATTACTTCATAATCAGTTTGGATTTTTAAAATGGGATGGATCACTCCAAAATAATTTCCTAGGGTCGGAGTACCAGTGGTTTGAATTCCGGTAAAAAAACGGAGTTTATAAGACATATAAATAATTTTTGCCTATCTAAGTTATACAATTAAGGGGAAAAAGTTATAATGTTAAGTTATTCTTCAAGGGATAATTTATTTATTTGGTAACCTTTTTGCTGAGATAATTTTAGTAATTGCTGTTTTTCTTTGAAGGAGGAAATAAAGGTTAGAGCTTTTCCGCTAGCACCAGCTCGACCAGTTCGGCCAATACGATGGATATAAAATTCTGTACTTTGGGGAAAGTCATAGTTAATTACGTAATCGATATTATTAACGTGAATTCCGCGAGCCGCTACATCGGTCGCAATCAGAGTAGAAATTTGTTTGTTACGAAATTTATTTAAAACTCGAGTACGACGGCTTTGAGAAAGATCACTATGAAGATAATCCACTTTCATTCCTTTTTCTCTAAGTAAATTTCCGATTTCTTCCACTTTTCTTTTAGTATTGGCAAAAATTAAAATTAATTTTGTCCTATTAAGGTGAAGAAAATGAATTAAATTTTTAAATTTCTGTCTTGGTGTAACTTCTAAATAATATTGCTGAATGCTGTTTTCTTCAGAAATTTGTTTTTCTCCAATAACGGTTTGGGGATTTTTTAAAAACCGTTGAGAAAAATTTTTTATGTCAGGAGAAATAGTAGCTGAAAAAAGTAAAGTTTGCCGAGTAGAAGGAGTTTTTTTAATAATTCATTCTATCTCTTTTAAAAACCCTTTATTGATCATTTCGTCGGCTTCATCAAGGATCAGAAACTTTATATTATCAGTCCGGAAACTCTTTCTTTTTAGATGGTCAGTAACTCGACCAGGAGTTCCCACTACTATATCTAATCCACTGCGAAGCATTCTTAATTGTTTTACTATAGGATCTCCTCCATAGATTGCACAAGTTCGTAATTTAAGATGCTGAGATAATTTCTTTACTTCCTCACTTACTTGACATGCTAATTCGCGAGTTGGTACTAGGATGAGAACTTGGGGATAAAGATCTCTTTTTAAGTTTTCGAGAACCGGGATAACGAAACTAGCAGTCTTTCCTGTGCCAGTTTGCGATTGTCCAATAATATCCTTTCCACTCAATACTGGCGGGATAACTTTTTCTTGAATATCAGTTAATTTACTATACCCGATCGCTAACAAATTTTTCTTAGTCTGTTCTGATAATTTAATATTTTCTAAATTCATTTGAGTCGGGTTATACCATCTTTTTCAAGCGTTTCCAGTCGCTAGCACCAAGTAAACAACTTTTTCTTAAATGCCTTTTTTGTTTAGTTGATTTACTATATGCTAAATGGGAAGTATAAGAATGTCAATGTTTTAATAAACCTCTTTTGGATAAAAGTTTGAAACGTTTTTGTAGAGTTCTTTTGGAACGAAGTTTTATGGTGGCTGACATATATTACTAATTATTACTTTTTTTATAAACAAAAAATCAAAACCTGTCAGGAAGTCTTCGAATGCTATCTTTTAATTCAATCTTGCTGGACTGTTTTCTTAATTCTTCAATTATTTTTTGGCATTTTTCCCGCGCTACTTCAGGGTGAGCCTTTTCCTTTCCTAACATAATTAAGTTTAATTTTACCATTAAACCACTTTCTAACCATCTTTTAACTTTTTCTAGTTTATTCTTCAAATCATTATCTTCAATGTTAAAAGAGAAACTCATTTCTTTATTAGTGTTTTCCTTTTTGGTTTTTTTGTTTTTATTTAATTCAAAGAGATACTTTTGGTAATCGACTAGTTTGCAAACTGGAGGATTAGATTGGGGAGCTACGCAAAGAAGATCTAAGTCAACTTTTCTAGCTCGATTCAAAGCTTCCTGAATGGTAACAGTTTCTTTGTCACTCTCATTAACTAACAAAACTTGAGAAAAGGGAATTTCTTCATTAAGAAGACTGGGATTAACTTCTATTTTTTTGTTCTTTTTTAAGTGTTCTTTATTTCTCACTATTTATTTTAAATATAGTATTTATAGTATTTTTCTTACTTTTAGGCTCTTATGCAACCCTTTTAATCCCTTCTTTGCAATAAAATTAACTATCTCATATTATTATAATTTTTAGTCTAAGTAGTCATTTTCTTTTTCTCTTCTAAATCATTATATAACTCTTTTTCAGTTAAATCACTTATTTCATTTGGTAAATAAGTATAAATTAGTTTAAACTTTTTTTTCGTAACTTCTTCTTTACCAACTACCAAGTAATAAGGAATTTTTTTTTTGTACATTTGGCGAATACGATAATTGAGAGTTTTTTCGGTGAACATTTTAACCCGTAAATCTTTCTTGGTTAAATTTTCTTTTAGTTTTTCGCAATAATTTTTGGTCTCTTTTTCCTCATTTAGTGGCAAGATGGCGACTTGGCAAGGACTTAGTCAAAAAGGTAATTTACCTTCAGTTTGCTCTATTAATAAGGCAATAAATCGTTGATAAGAACCAATCGGAGTTTGATGAATAATAACGGGAGTTTTTAATTCTTGTTTTTCATTAATATATTGCAGACCAAATTTTTCTGGGGTAGGAAAATCAATTTGCATCGTAGCGAGAGTAATAATTTTTTCATCAGCCGTTTGGACTTCAATGTCTAATTTTGGTCCATAAAAGGCAGCTTCTCCGGGTAAAAGAGTGTAATTTAACCTTAATTCCTTTAAGACTTCTTTTAAAATTTTCTCAGCTTGGTTTCACAACTTTTTGTCGGAATGGTATTTTTGTCAATTATCTGGATCATGAGTAGAAAGGGCCCAACGAGCAATTTTTAAACCAAAGGTTGCTAGAATTTGTGAAATATAAAGGTAATTAACTTCTAGCTCTTCCTTTAATTTGTCAAGACTTACAAAAATATGGTGGTCAGGTAACTCGAGTCCTCGTAGCCTTTCTAAACCTTTCAAACCTCCAGAAGCTTCATAACGAAACAAAAGTGAATTTTCGCAGAGACGTAAGGGTAATTCTTGGTAAGAACGAGGTTTTTGTTGATAAATCGAACAATGATGAGGGCAAGTCATAGGGCGCAAGCGGAGATTTTCATTATTCCGACTAATTACAGGAAACATGTATTCTTCATAATGGGTTAAGTGTCCGCTGGTTCTATATAAAGCTTCGCTTCCTAAGATCGGAGTCATTACTTCTTGAAAATTAAACTCTTTTTGTTTTGCTTGTAAAAAATTTTTAATTTGGTTGTGAATGATAGTATAGTTAGGCAAAAGTAATGGCAAACCTTGACCTACTTTCTCATCAAAAAAGTATAAGTCTAGATTCTTGGCTATTTCGCGGTGATCTAATGATTTTTTTCTTTCGGACATTATAAGTAGTATAACAAAGTTAGCAATGTTAAAAGATAGAGAAAAGGAACTAAATTATGTATGTAATGAAATTTGAATCCATATGTATAATTTTTCGCAAGTATCGTTTTGTAAACTTTAACTAGGAAAGTTCTGTGAGGACAAAATTTTCTTTATCTTTTTAAACTTTTATTCTCTAATTTTAGTAATAACCTCTTGTTTTCTTATTTTTGTTGCTGCGGTACACTATATATACACTATATATGTTAAATCACTTGCAGTAAATAAGTTTTGTCGAATTATTTTTTTTTATTTGAACGGCGAATTTCATAAATTTTTAACAAGTTTGCTAAATGATTAATCATCATCTTTCTCAATTCTTCTAGATAATCACTTTCATCGTTATCTTCATAGACTTCGGCTTCTCCTAACAAAATCATTTTTGCGTGAGAAATTTTCTTAAATACTGCTTCGGCTTCTTCACGCGTTTTTGCTAAATGACTTGGTTGACCAAATTTATCAGGATATCATTTTAAAGCCAATTTGCGGTAGGCTTTAATAATTTGTGATTCGGAAACTCCTTCCGCTAATTCTAACCCTTCAAAGGCTTTCTTTATTTTTTTTCCCTTTTTATATTATATATATACATATATATTAATAAATAATTAATTTTAACCAGAAACTTTATAGATGGCAGAAATGGTAGACAAAAAAACAATTAAGTTTCACATCATGTGGAAATAAATAGGATAAGTAATGTTTAGTTTACTTTCGTGATAAGCATAGATAAAAAGAATAGTCGCCGGGAGATAATTGAGTAAAAGTAGACCTAAAGCCGTAAAATTGAGGATCCCGCCTTGCCAGTGCAAGAAGATAAAAATTAAACCTGAGAAAATATAAGCAAAGATATTAGACTTGCCAAAAATTTCAAAGATTAAGTAACGGCACAGGCATTCTTCCACAATCGGAGCAATTATAACCACTGTAATGAAACCAAGAAATAAAGAAACATTACCAAGCGGCATTGTGGTAGGTAATCGCTTTTTTTCGGTGATGAACTTATCTATTTGCTTTCGCTCCTCCAATGCTTTTTTGACTAATTCCTCCTCCGTAGTTAAGTTTTCTTCAATCATTTTTTCCGCTATTTCTCGCTGATATTTGGCTTCTAAATCAGGTCGTAAGTTTTTTCCCAAAAAATTAGAAACGAGAAAAGCCACTACTCCAACCCCGAATATTTTCATATAAGTTATTCTTTCGGACGGTCAACTTTTAAAATCTCACCAACTAAACCACATTTTAAGAGTATTCCAAATAAGTTTCCTTTGCTTAATAACAACCCAAGCAGCCAAAATAATCATTGGAATTACAAATCGAAAATGTTCCCAAATTTGGTTTTTTTCTAGAATATTCATATGATTATACTAATGTTGCTTGAAAAGTTGTAATTATGAATAAAATTTGAGGGGATAATTGGTAGGTGTATTAAGTGTTTTTTTTTTTTTTTTTTTGCCTATTTCTGACATATTTATGCTTTTTTCTAAAACTTTTGAATTAATAAAATAATGTAATATAAATTAATATTTTATACTTTGGTAGCAGCGAGAGGATTCGAACCTCCGATCTTACGAATATGAGTCGTCTGCTCTAACCAACTGAGCTACGCTGCCTTTTCTTTTAATGTTATTTTAAATTAAGGAGTTGCCAGGAGCAATCATCACCATGGTTATAAACAGGAGATTAACTAAAGAATGCAACAAAATAGGATATAGTAGTTTTCAACCACTTTTTTTGTAAATATAAATAAATCCTAAAGTAGCCACTGAATATTGGAAAAAAAGCACCATAATGCTTTCTCCGCGGTGATAATGAGCCAAAATAAAAGTAAAAAAAGAAACTAAGTAAGAAAGAGGATTCTTCCGACCAAAAATTCTAAAAACCAAATAACGGAAAATACCTTCTTCTACCACCGGAGCCAAAACACACATCCCAAGAAAGATTTGAGTTAGATGTCATCAATTATCTTTACTGTTAGTTATAACTTCTATTTGGGTGGTTATTTTTTCTGATTTGAGGTTCGATCAGGAAGTCATTCATCCTACAACTAATTTAGCAGCGAAATGGATAAGGGCAAAAAAGAAGAGTAATTTAATTCCTTGCCAAAATATTTTCTTTTTTTCTTTTCGTAACGAATGTCAAATATTTTTTCTTTCTTGCTGGAATACCCAGAAAGTTATTAAAAGGCAAAGAATAGCGTAGCGAATAAAAAACTTGCCGGCTAATTTTTCACTAACATATTGCTCTCATTTCATTACTCTTTAACTATTTTTAAATAATCAGGATAAGAATTAGCGATGTTTTCTAATTGATAGAACATTAATCGTAAACATAACTGACATGCAAAACTTCCATTTTTAGGATAAATACTTATTTCGGTTGGCTGATAAGAAATTTGGCAATCATTTTGGTAATGAAGTTGGAGAAAGTTGACTGTACCATTAGCAATCGCAGAAATAGCAGCACAAACTATGTCCTTCCCTTTCCGAGCATAGTTGGCATGGTCTTTAATAATAATATACTCAAAGTTTTTTTTTTTATCTTGTTTATAAATTATATTGGTCATTAAAAATATGATTTATTTTTCCTCAACCAATTGATTAAGTAAGGAAAGGAATAATTAAGAATCTCGCTTAATTAACCTAGCCAGCACAAGGAAAGTTTGTGCTGATTGATAACTAATCAAAAAGGTATTTTAGACTCGACTTAAAAGAAAATCCGTTTTTAGAAACGAAATATTTTGATTAAACCATAAAGTGAAAACAAAAAAAGTTAGCAAACTCGAAATTAACAGACTAACCCCGAGAAATTTTGCTCCACTATTTATAAAATCAAAAGCTTTTAGCAAAGCGGACAAAGAACTAAACAAACCAAAAGCAAAGAAAGAACCCCAAATAATCCTTCTAGTTTTCTCAGTTCTTATCGTTGAACGTGATTTAGACATTTTTATTTATTTAACTGAAAAGAATTTAATGATACTAAAACTAAAATTTTATCATATATTGTTGTTTGCAACGATTTGCCTTTATACATCCAAAAAATCATGAAAGAAGAGAAAATTGAATTGTTATACCTTGAAACGGGACTTTTATGACCCCATTATAAACAAAAGAAAGCTTTGAGTGCTAATACTTTAACTAAGGTATTAAAAGAAATAGAATATGAAGAAATACCAGCATATATCCTTCTTCAAGCAGCTCAAAGAGGAAAATCATTTCATAAAACTATTCAAGAATTTGTGAAAACTGGTAGTTACCCCGCATTTGTTGATTTAGCCAAAGAAACCATTTCTAATAATTTAGAAAAGAGAATTCATGAAACTATCAATTTTCTGAAAAAAAAAAATCCCTTAGAACTCAGTCATTTCCTCGGCAGTGAAAAATTACACTATGTCTTTTACAAAGGTGAATTACTAGCTACCTATCTTGATTTAGAATTTAAGGATTGTATTATTGAGTTGAAAACAAATAGTGCCAAAATTAATGAAAGTCCCCTTGCGCTTTTAGTTTTCGAAATTCAACTACTTATCCAATATTTATGCACTGGAAAGCATGTCTATCTTTTGTGAAGCACAGGAAAAGGAGTAATTTTTAACAAGTTCCAACCTTCTGAATACTCTTTAAAAATACTTGATATACTTATTGACTTAGCAAGAAATAGCGAGGTTTACTCGCCGAGTGTTAAAAAAATTATTGTTCAAGAAATAATGGCTAAGTATTTACCGAAAAAATTAATGTAACTAATTTATGAAAAATAGCATTTCATTTAGCATAAAAGAAAGGGGATGTAGCAATTTAAACTGACTTTACGTGCTTTTTTTAATAATTTCTTTCCTTGCTACATTAGGAATTATTTTAGCAATAAGGATTAAGAGATTATTTTAAATTAACTCACAAATTCTTCTTTATCCTTGGCAATTAATTCTTCGCCGGTGAATAGATAGATATAGTCGACGTAGCGGAATATCTCGTAGTGATGATCAATCACCAATACTGTTTTACCTTGAAGTTGTTTAAAAATATTTTGTAAAACCACGTCTTTTAAATGAGGGTGAACATTGCTTAGTATCTCGTCAAGGATGTAAATATCATAATCATTAATAAACATTCGCATAGCGGCAATTTGTTGTTTCTGTCCTTCTGAAAGATCTGTTCCCCCTTCTCTTAATTCAGTAGCAAATCCTTTAGGAAGATTAGCAATGAACTCGTAAATTCCAACTTGCTTAGCAGCTTGAACTAATTTTCAGTGATCTTCAACTCGGTACTGCTGTGGATAAAAGACATTTTCGGCAATACTCATTAGGAAAAAGGTAGGGCGATTAGTCTGATAACAAATTCTTTGATGGAGGTTAGTAGTATCTATTTCTTGGATGTTACGATCATTAATGAGTATTTTTCCTCCTTTTAACTCATAAAGTTTAAGAGTAGCTTTAGTGATGGTACTTTTACCAATTCCGTTTTTTCCAGCAATTCCATAAAATTTCCCTTGCACAAACCTAAAAGAAAAATTTCTTAAAATATTTTGCTGCGGCCTCTTAGGATAAGCAAAAACTACATCTTGGAAAACAAGATCACCATTTTCAAAAGGTACTTTTCTAATTGGAATTGCGGAAATATTAGAACTAATAAGATTTAAAATTTTGACACTTTCATTAACTATGGTTAGATTACTGGAAATTTCCTCAAGGGTCAGCAAACTATCAATTAACTTATTCACTTCACTATTTAATTTAGAAATAGTGAAATAATAGCGAGAGAAGTTTGCTATAAGAAAAACTGGATCATCTTCCCCTTTGCTTGTAAAAGTTAGTGCTAAAGATATAAAAAAAGTTGGTATGTTTGGAACTATCACATAATTAGGAAACGCTTTAAACAAGACAATGTACCACAGTGATTTTTTATTTTTTTGAAAAGTAGAATCTAATTTTTTGCTAATTTTTCTTTCTTCATATTTTTCCCCCGAAACCGCTTTAATATACTCTAGATTGTTAATTTTTTCATAGATTACTCTATTATCTTCTTCATAACGTCTTTTGGCCGCAACACTAAGTTTACTTGCTCTGCTAAACAAAATAAATTCAACAATTATTAAAAGCGAGAACAAAGCAAAAATAATTATCAAAAATTCTCAATTAACTCCTTTACTTCCAAAACCGAAATCAAAAAAAATGAGATAAAAGACAGAAGCAAAGACATAAATCAAGCGGTTAGGGATAAATCAAACACTATAAGCAATACTATCTAAGTCGCTAGCAAATTGAGTTATTAGATTCCGAGAAACCTCGGTAGAATTAGTGTATTTAGCTCGCAGGAAATGGCGAAATAAATCTTTTTTTAAGTCTCGCTCAATGCTGTCGTAAGAATAATTCATTAAATAATAATGAAGTAAAGAGAAGGTAGATTTTACTACCAAAATGAGGAGCAAAACCCGGGTAATAAATTCTCAAATTTTTAAATTATCTCTTTTAAATAATTCTAAACCGAAAAAATTAAACTTGAATTTGAAATTCTCGGTTCGGCGGATGTTAGTAGTAAAGACATTTTTACTGACTTCCTTAACTAAATCAATCGCTCCTTCTTTTTTAAAAGAGGTCTGGGCAGTTTTTTCATCTAATCTTTTAATAATTTGCTTTCTAATCTCCTCCTGAAAATCCTTATTCTTATCAGCTTGCTCGTTTATTATTTGCTTTATTCTGCTTATATTAATTATTTCTGGTTCCTCCTTTTCAATGGCTTCAATAGCTTGAGTGCTAAGGGTTTTTTCATCGATAAAAAAGGCATCCTTAAAACAATTTCCAATATTAAAATTGATAATAGCAGTAGCCACCGCTAACAAAGAACAGACAAGGAACAACCTAGGATTGTTATAAATAATGTTTCTAGTAAAGCGAAATAGCAATTTTAATTTGCTTTCTTTTTTAGTTTTGAGAACCGACTTAGTAAATACAGTTGAGGAGAACACTTTTATTAGTTATATATTAAATATTTTGGTTAGAATTTTACGTTGATTTCTTAAAATTGGGCATATAGCAAGTACGAAATTAATACGAAATAGGCAAAAAAAAAAAAAAAAAAAAAAAACAGTATAATAAGTTAATAAGTACAATTTTGCATTATGGAAAAACAAGCAGTCATTGAAGTTAAAAATGTTAATAAAATTTATGGTGGTAAAAGGGTTTTAAAAAATGTCTCTTTTGAAGTTAAGCCAGGTATTCATGGTTTTATTGGACCTAATGGAGCGGGTAAAACTACTACTTTGGGAATAATCGTTAGATTAGTAATTCCAAATAGCGGAGAAGTGTGAGTAGAGAAAAAGTTAGTGGCCAAAGATCCAAGTTTTAACGAACATCTTGGTTTTGTTCCGGCGGAACCTTTGTTTCCTCCAATAACCGTTGAAACTTATGTGTTGGATTGCGGTTATTTGCGGGATATTCCCCAAGAGGAAGTTTTGGCTAAATTAAACAGTTCTCCGTTGGCGGCTCATAAGAATAAAAAGTGTCACGAACTTTCTACGGGTTGAAAAAAAATCTTACAAGTTTTTGTTTTGAGTCTTTATCGACCGAAAGTTTTTGTTTTAGACGAGCCTTTTAATGGTTTAGATCCTACTTTTCGAAAGGATTTATTTGATAATCTTATCCACATTAAAAAACAGGGAGGAACCATTTTGATTTCTACCCACATTCTATCTGACTTACAAAAATTAGCCGATGAAATTACCATGATTAGAGATGGTGAAATTGTGTATAGCGGACCAAAAACTGACGATATCGAAAAAACTTATGAAGATTACTTTGTTAAACAAAAAAAAGGAATGTTCGAACTATAAAATTGAAAAAATATGGTAACTAAAAAATTATACTGATATTATTTAAAAAAATTACTCTGACGAAGTTGAAGAGTGTGAATTATTATCCTATTTAGTTGGATTTGATGGATGAGTTATTCGCTGGGTACTTCTAGTTTACTGACAGGTCTAGCCAATCGCGAAAATCATTCGAGAGAAAATAAAGAAAATTTACTTTCGCTACATAAATTGGTTTATCAAGGCTATTTTCTTAAAAGTGAGGAAACTATTAAACAAATGAAAGAGTATTATATTGACAAATCAGGCTATTCTCCAAGTACTAAAAGAGAAATAGAGAGAAAGATCAAAGAATGAGAAACAGAATATGCGGGTCTAAGTTATGAAGAGCGGGAAAAGAAAGCTCGTAAAGATTTAGAAAAAGGTTTTAATTTCATTTTTGGTGATTTATTCGGTAAAATAGAGGTTGAAAAAGAAACTTACCAAGAAATATGAAAACGGAGATATAGTTGATGGGGAATATTAGAAAATCTAGGACTTCCTTTTAGAACTCCTTATGACTATAATTTGGTTGAATTTGCTTCTCCGCGGGGCTGGAAGGAATTAAGCACTTATCAAATGTGAGGATTAATTAATAATATTTCTATCTGAAATTTTGCTGGTTTTATGGTTAGCGGATTTTTTGTTTACACTTTACTAGATAAACTATTCTTTGAAACTAAAAAAAATGGTGAGGATGCGATGGTAGTTAATTTCACACCAGGAGTAAAAAGAAGTCAATTATTTTTTGGCAAGGTTTTAGCCTACATAACCACCTTAGCAGTTTTTGTATTACTTGGTTGCGTTTTACCTTACGGTATTTTAATTGGAATTTCAAATGGTCTAAACTTTTTCCCATGACTTAACTTCCTTTGATTAACTCTTTTCTCAACGGTTATCGGTTCTCTTTGTTTCACTCTAATTGCGGGTGGTTTTTATTTATTTTTCAATACTCTCGGAATCTTTGGACGAGTTTTACAATGATTAATGTCTTATCTCCCTCTCCTATCTTTTTTATTTCTTTGATTAAGCAAATACAAATTTGTTAATCGTTCCCTTGCTTATATTCAATACTATTATTACCATCCAATAATTCACCTTGTTTTAGCAGCCGGATTAGGAACTTTGCTGTTTTCACTTTACCTTTCCTACTATAAACAAGAGGATTTAGATTAGTACTTTTTTTAATAGTGAGTTATGGTTCAAAAAAAAAAAAAAAAAAAAAAACTTTGTTTGCTAAACTTTACCCTTACTATTGCCGAAAATTATTAAAGAAATTACCGACAATTATATTCAGTGGACTGTTTATTATTATTATTGTTTCCGTGCAGATTTGATTTAGGGCTAAATTTGGGATGAATTTTTCTCCTTTTGGTTCCTCGACCAGTTCAGATATTAGTAGTCTAACTGACCTTTTGACAGTAGTTTTAATTTTCTCTGCTTCCTCATTTCTTCTATACTATAATTTAGGAAGTATACTTGGCACTGCATTAGTAGGTGGATATATAGGCGGTCAAATTAAGTTTATTCCTTCTAAGGAAAGTAGTCGAGGTGAAGACGTTAAAACTCTTGTTTTTACTCCCCGAATTACTCGAAAGGACGTGGTTTGGGCTAAGTTTGCTGCCATTTTTACTTATTGCCTTGGGTTTGGTTTGGCTTTAACTACTTTGCCATTTGCTATTTATTTTATTATTTCTTCTGAGATTTCTTTACTTTATGTTTTTTTATTCGTAATCTTGCATGGTCTTCTTAATTTGGCTTATTTTTCTCTTCTAGTTCCAGCCCTTTTATATGTGAATTCTAGCGGTTCGCTTTCTTTAATATTTGCATTTCTTGTTACTTATTCTCTTTTAGGAAGTTTAGGTTTTTATTTTTTTAAAGATTTTATTTTCCGATATTTATTTCTTTTCTTAATTCTTTTTGTTCTTTTATGTTTGCTAATGGGTTGGCTGTTTTTCAAACTTTGAAAAAAAGATTTTTTACAAAAGGATTTGGCTTAAAAAAAGTCATATTATTTACAAATTATTAGTTTTAGTTTATTTATTTTTTCCAAAAAGAAAATAGCAAATATCGCCTTCTTTAATGTTATAATTAACTCCTTCACTTCTTATTTTTCCAGCCTTTTTTAATTCTTCTTTTTCCGGAGTTCCTAATCAATCAGCATAGTTATAAACTTCGGCTCGAATAAAATTTTTTTCAATATCCGAATGGATTAATCCCGCACATTCTCGGGCTTTCATTTCACTTTTGGCTAATCAACTTTTAGTTTCATCTTTTCCCACCGTGAAGAAAGTTTTTAGTTTCAGCAATTCTTTAATTTTATTAGTCAAAAGGGAAAAATCAATGCTTATTCAACCCAGTTCTTTTTTTTCTCCTGCTGACAAATTCTCAGTTTCTTTTTCTAGTTTAATTGCTAGCGGTAAGAAAGATAATTTTTTTTCCTTAGCGTATTTTTTCAAGTTTTTAATTTCGGTTTGGTCTCCACTAAAATTAACTAATAAAAAAAAAGGTTTGCTAGTTAGGAAATTGTAAGTTTTTATTACTTTTATTTCTTCTTCTTTTAAATTTATTTGGCTAACTGGGATTTCTTTTTCTAAGTTTTCTTGAATTAAATGGAGAAGAGCCTTTTCTTTTTGGGAGTTTTCATCCTTAATTTTTAACTTTTCTAGTCTTTTTTTTAATTGTTGTAAGTCAGCCAAAATTAACTCTAATTGAATTGTTTCATAATCACGGATAGGATCGACCGTTTTTTCCACATGAATTATTTCTTTTTCAGTAAAACAGCGTAAAACATGGCAGATTAAATCCACTTCCCGAATATGAGACAAAAACTCATTGCCTAACCCAGCGCCTTGGGCGGCTCCTTTTACCAGACCAGCAATGTCAATAATTTCAACTACACTCGGAGTGGTTTTTTGGCTCTGATAATATTTACTTAATTTTTCTAAACGGGAGTCAGTTAGCATCATTATTCCTACATTAGGTTCAATAGTAGCAAAAGGATAGTTAGCAATGTCTTTAATGTTTTTTTTGGTTAAAAAATTAAATAAACTGGACTTACCAACGTTTGGCAAACCAACTAGACCAATTTTATAGGGCATTTAATATTGTTTTTAAAGAATTTTGGAACATACGTAAAAATACATAAGAATTAAGAATGAGTACACGAATCTTTGCTAGTGTTATTATCCATTTGTGAAAAGAACATTGAGGAAAAAACAAGAAGAGTTGGATAAAGTGTATAACGTGTTGGACTTATTATATTCTTGGCTCATTCTTTGTTTTATTTTATATTTTTTTAGTGAAAGATCAAAATTATATTAATATGAATGAAGTGTTACAATGAGTTTTAGTAATTTTTATTATTTCAATACCTCCTATTTTTGTAGCATTAATTAATTATTACGCTGAAAAAAAGAAAAAGGCTGCTGAGACTGAGAAAATTAAATTGGAAAATAAAATTACTAAGGAAGTTACCTATGAAAAATTAAAAGCAAAAGCAAAGCATGAAAATATTAAGGATAAGATTCAAATTTTTCAAGAGTTAGTCGCACTAGAAGAGAAATTAAAAAGCAGTGATAAATTGACAGGCGAAGAGCAAAAAAAATTGGAAGCGCTAGAAATGCTTAAAAAAGAATTTAAAACTTCTTTTGTTGAACCAGAAAAGAAGCCGTTAGCTGAGTCCACTAAAAAACTTTTGATAAAAAAAAGAGGTTCTAAATCACCTAAAAATAAGAAAAAGAAAAAATAAAGGCATGGATCAAATCACAATTCTTTTGTTAGTGGTAATTCTGGTTTTGGTAGCACTTTTATTTTACTGTTTGCTTTTTTACTTGCCTAGCAAGCAAAAAAATGAATTGTCCCAAAAAATTTCTCAGGATCTAAAACTCAACGAAGAAAAACTGAGTTCTTTATTGGAAAATATAAAAGGTGAAATAGAAAATCAAAAGGAGAAGAACAAAGATTTGGGTGACAAAATTGCTCTTTCTCTAGACAAAAACGAATCGTTAATAAAATTACGCTTGGAAAATTTAAGTTCTGAGTTGAAAAACAGCGTAGCACAACCTTTGGCAAAAATTAATAATGTTCTTTTACATCCCCGCGAAAGAGGAAAATTAGGAAATTTGCAGTTAGATCAGTTGTTATCCTTATACTTACCAAAAAATGGTAAAGTTTATCAGTTAGAATTCACCCTCAAAAAAAAAAGAACTAACGGGGAAGGTTTGCGGGTTGATGCGATTGTTTTTGGGATAGATGGTAAAAATAATTTAGCGATCGACAGCAAATTTCCGTTAGAGAATTATTTAATGTTATTTAAAGAAGAACTTTCTGATGTTGAAAGAAAAGAGATCGAGAAGAATTTTAAAAATAACCTCAAAGAACATATTAAAAAAGTGGCTGAGTATGTTTCAGAATTAGATGGTACTGATCACGCCATTATGTTCGTTCCTTCCGAGGTAGTTTTTGCTAAAATTAATGAGCATAACTTTTATGAAATAATTGAGTTAGCTTTAGAAAAAAGAGTCACTATTTGCTCTCCCATGTTATTAGCAGTGGTTATTAATCATATTCTCTGAACAAACAAAACTTGGGAGCAATACAGAAATGTAGACAAAATAATTACTGAACTAGACAGTTTCTGAGAAGACTTTGACCGATTTCGCGACCGATGAGAAAGATTCCTTAAATTAACTAACGATCATCACGCCGCCGTAGACAAGATTAATATTACTACCAACAAATTAATTAAACATGGGCAAAAGATTAAAAAAAGAGAAAATATTTTACCCGAAGAAAAGTTGGTAATAAAAAAAAATCTTTTGACAGAAGAAGAATAATTTTAAAATGATAATTCTAGCTATTGAAACGAGTTGCGATGAAACTAGTATAGCGATTCTCGAAAACAAAAAAGTTCTTAGTAATGTTACGGTCTCACAAATACTAGAGCAGCAAAAGTATGGTGGGGTAATGCCAAATTTGGCCGCCAAACTGCACATCAAAAATATTCAAAAAGTTCTTTTTCAGGCCTTGAAAGAAGCACAAAAATCTCCTTTAGAAATTGATTACATTGCCTATACCGAAAAACCGGGTTTGATTATTTGTCTGCAAATTGGCAAAATAATCGCCGAAACTCTTGGTTTGTATTTAAATAAACCTATTCTTCCTTGTAATCATCTGGAGGGACATATCTATGCTAGTCTATTAGACAAAAAAGAAGAATGGGGATTTACTGCCTTAGCCCTAATTGTTAGTGGTGGCCACACTCAAATTTATCAAGTAAACAATCACTCTGATTTTGTTCTTTTAGGAGAAACTTTGGATGATGCTGCAGGTGAATGCCTAGACAAATCAGCAATTTTGTTAGGTTATACTTATCCAGGAGGACCGATTATTGAAAAATTAGCACTTGATGGTCAGAATACTTACCAACTACCTTTTCCTAAAAACGACAACAGCCTGGATTTTAGTTTCAGCGGCTTGAAAAGCGAAATAGGAAGACTAGTAAAAACTAAAAACATAAATGTCCGCGACTTGGCTTGCTCTTTGCAAAACATTTTAGCAGAAATTTTAGTAAAAAAATTAAAAAAAGCTTGATTAACTAATCAGGCTAAAACTATCATCATCGGAGGAGGAGTAATCGCTAATCAATTTCTTAGAAATTATTTAGTAAAGGAAATAAAAAACTGAGATAAAAAGATCAAGATTTTTTTTCCTGCTATTAAATACTCAACTGATAACGCTGCCATGATTGGGATACTTGCATACTATAAAATCCTTCATAATCTATATCCTAAATAATGCATAATTAACATAAATTAACAAAATGGAGAAAAGAGAAAAAAAATATTCCGAAGAAGCCAAAAAGAGAACAAATATTAACTGCCTATATAATTATTTCAAAGTTACTCCTAAAAAACTAAGAATTGTTTGTGATTGAGACGAAGTAATTCAACCACTAGAACCCAAGGCATATTATGAATTATCCGAACGCGAGGGTGCTTATTATGATGCTCCTTGATGAATGCCTAATGGAACTAAATTTGAGGAATGATTTAAGAATTTTTGATTAAATCCTCCCGTTTATTTTTCTGATTATGGTAGTCATTCTATCTATACTGATAAAGATATGGTAAAAAGTTGTCTAAATGAAGGTGGTGGACTTGCATTAGGACCAAGAAGTATCAAAAACAAAGTCGAAAAAATAAAAAACGAAACTGATTTTTACGAAAAAACTCCTTTTTTAACCATCGCGAAAGAATTATTAATGCTAATTAAGGAAAATAAAGTAGAACAAATTATCTTTTTATCTGCCTATAATAAAAGAGATTTTGCAAATGGTGATCCACGGAAAAAGAAAACATTCAGCGAAACTTTTGGTAAATTTCCTAACTGTTCTTTAAATTTAATAGGATTTGAAAGTGAAGGGCAAGGTCAAAGCAAGAGTCAATGAATTAAAGAAAATGTTCCTAATTGTGATATCGTAATTGATGATAATCCTAATATTCTTACTAATGTATTAAAAGAAAATAAAAAAATTACTGCTTTAGCCCCCTATTATTCTCCAACCATCAAGCATCACCAAAATGTATTATTAGTCAAAACTTCTCTAAGTAATTTGAAAAAAGAAGATTTCTAATTATTTTTATGAAAGAGTAAATAAAAAACAAGCAACAATATTATAGTAAAGAGGAAGAGAGTAAAAAGGAATGTAAAAAGTATCCATAGTCAATAAGTAATAAGTTTATTTTCTAGTTCTTTTTTTCTTTCCGCTAGCAAGTCAACCATATAAAGAAAACTGAAACGAAACAAAAAAAAGTCCTAAAAAAATCTCAGCAATTCCCAGCGGATCACTAGAATTAAATGACAAAACAACAATTCAAAGAGTCGTTAAAAAGAAAGTAAATAGTTGGAATTGCCCAAATACTGTCTAATTTAAGTGTTTTTTTATATAAACAACTCAAAACAAAAAGACCAAAAAAAAGAAGAATTACCAATCAAAAATAAGGATTGAGAAGCATAAAGTTACATTATTCTACAATACTCCTTAGGTGGAACTTCTTGGAACTTCTTTTAAGTTTGTCTTTCATATTTCTCAGTTTCATAATCAAATTTTATCCTAATAAATTGTTAGTATCTCTTATTTTTTATTTAAAAAACACTTTTTATCATTTCTTGAAAAAAAACTAACCTATATTTTTTTTAATTCTTCCTTATTCTTTTCCCTAAACAATAAATCAAGAATTTTATTAATATACTTATATTTACCTTCTTCCAAATAAACTTTGCTAAAATTAATTGTTTGATCTATTATCATTTTCTCCCAATTTAAGTTCTGAATCGATAATAATTCATAAGCAGCATAAGTTAATATTGCTTTTTCCAAAGGAGGCAACCGAGAAAATTCTCAACCATCTTTTAACTTTTGAGCAATTTTTTCTCGAAGGAAAGCCTCCTCTTTTAAAAAATCATTGAATCAAAAAAGCCTTTTTTGTTCTTTCTCATCCAAGTCATCTACACTTTTATTATTAAAAAAATCCTCCGAAAGATAATAATGATAAAGTAAAAAAATTTTTCTTTTATCGAGACGGAACATTTTCAGTAAGAGGTAAAACTGATACAAAAGTTCTTTTGCCTCTTCCTTTATAATAATTTACTATTCCTTCATACTCAGCATGAATAGTATAATCCCTTCCAAAAAATACTCCTTTGCCACCTTTATACTTACTTCCTCTTTGTCGAACAATAATACTTCCTTTTTTTACTAACTCGCCACCAAATTTTTTTACCCCTAAACGCTTGGAAATAGAATCATGATTACAATTAGTAGAGGCGGAACCTCCTCCCTTTTTTTGGGCAAAAAACTGTAAATCTAATGGAAAAATTGAGAAAAAGAACATATTAATAATATTTTACTAATCAGAACTTTTTTAGAAGTATTAGTGATTAGAACGGATTGCTTAACTGATGTCAATACTAAATGTTTAAATAACTGCTTGCAAAAGTGAGAAAGTTTACTAATTACTTACTGTCAAGAACGACAAATCATTTATTTTGCTAATCAAGAGCAAGTTAAAGATGAACAAAAAGAAAAAGACTTAGCTAAATGACTAGCACTAATTAGAAAACAAAATCAGAAATAGCCCTATGAATAAGAAATCACTGCAAAAGCAAATCGCCAGAAAATTAGAAAAATTACACGAATTATTTGATAAATTTGACGAAGCTAGAAATATTGAACCGGATGAACCAGAGACCTGAGATAGCGACACCCTTTACAACTTAGTAGAGGACTTAAAAGATGCCCTTAAACTTTTAGAAGACCAAAAAGGAAAGCAATTAGATAATTTTGGTGATCCGATTATTTTAGAAACCGGATTATGTTCTTTGGTAGATAGTTATCAGAGTGAAGAAGAAGAAAATGAGGATATTTAAACATGACAAGTTTAATAATCTTTACTCTTTTTTTAGGAGTAATCATGGGTCTTTTTTTAGCCTCTTTGTCCCTCTATCTATTTAGAATTAAATGTCCTAACTGTAAAAAGTTGAAACCTTTACTAGAAATTACTCTCTTTCAGTGAAAAAGTAGAGAAATCACCGGTCAGAAATGTCAAAAGTGTCAACAAACTAAACCCCAAGTAGAGATTTTTTAACTTATGAATTGAACTACTTACTGAGTCAAACAACGGCTTAATCAGTCTCAAACGAGTATTATGACTAATCATAATATTTCTGAATACACTGAATATTTACAAGATAAAAATTATCGGCTAATACTATCCGCTTATATCTAAATGTCTTGGATAAATTCCCGCAAGAACTTAACACTCAAAGTTTAAAAGAGTATTTTCGCACTAATCTAAAAAAGTATGAAGCAAGTAGTTTAAAGGTTCAACAATGAGCCCTCAATTCTTATATCAAATTTAAAAAGTTAGCTGTAGAATGAGAAAGAATTGCTCGGTTAATTCCTCGGATGCAGAGAAAATTTTTTGACACTATTAGTGAAAAAGAATTAGAACAGTTGAAATTAGCCAAGGTAGAAAAGAACCAAAAGGTTCATGCCCGAAATAACCTCATGCTGGACTTCTTACTTTATTCAGGATTGAGAATAAACGAATTAGTTAATGTTAAGCACTCCGACTGGCAAGGTAACCAATTAAGAGTATTAGGAAAAGGGAATAAAGTTAGGTTTGTTAAACATTTTGATTTTACCTCTCCTGATTACTTATTTACTAACCAAAGGGGAAACCAAATCAAAGCGAGTATATTAGATGATTACTGAATGCCAGAACTAAAAAAGCGGGAATTCAAAAAAGAATAACTCCTCATACTTTTAGAAGAAGTTTTGCCACTTTACTTTATCGCAATGGTGCTCAATTACTAACTACTCAGCAACTTTTAGGACATTCCAGTGTCCAAACTACGGAGAAATACATTCAGAATGATTTTGAATATATTTTTACTGATTACAGTAAATTGTGAAGCAATAACCCTCATTTAAGCCATGACAACCAATCAATGTAAATGTGGTAAATTAGCCACTCGAATAATAATTCTGAAAGGTTATTCTTGGCTTTTATGTGCTAAACATGTCCAAGCATTAGAACAACTCTTAGGAGAAAAATTGGAACCTTTAACGAGACAACATTATGAAGCAAGAAATTAAAAGTTTATGAATTCTTAATATGCCCAACAAGAAACCACAACAGCATGAAATGATTTGTCCGAAATCCAAGAAAACAGTTTGCTGACCTTGTTGAATGAGTTTTTGTCGTAGTTGAACCTTAAAAACTGGTGAACACTGCTATAAATGTAGTAGCCGAAAAGCAAAGAAATTAAGCAATTATGAATCAAGAATTTAAAGTTAAAACTACTATCCAAGATATTGAATCTAAATTAGATAAGAATAACCAGCGTTTTTATAAAGTATGAATTAGTTGAGAATTAGGAAAACCAAGAGTATTTTATGCTTTTGCTAATGATTTCAATTTAAAAACGGAAACTTTACAATTGCTAACTAATGCTCCCCAAAAGTTAATCAATCAACGCGTAACTATTACTTATCAAGAATTAGAGAATAAGGATAAGAATGGAAGTTTTTGTCGGATTAAGGAGATTGAGATTTAGAAATTATGAATAATTCCAAAAGACAAAGAAAAGAAAATGTATAACCTAAAAAAGAACTCTAATATTTATACTCCCTTAGCAGTAAGTCAGTTTATTTTTAATCTTTTAAAAGATAAAGTAAAAAAAGGAGTTATTTTAGATCCTTGTTCTGGTCAAGGTGCTTTATTAAGTCCTTGACAGAACTCTAATTATCTTACTCTGGGAATAGATATTGATCCTACTACTTGTGCTGATAAGCATTTAGATTTTTTAAAGGCTAATGAAGAACAAATTTTTAAACTCTTTCAATTTTGTGATTATGAGAAAAAGGATTACTCCCTTTATGACTATGAATTAAGTCTTGTTCTTTGTAATCCTCCTTTTAATGGCATGAAACCTAAGTTAGCCCCGGAAGTTTGGTTAGACAAAATTATTGAACTCTTTGGGAAAGAAGTACCGATAGTTTTGTTTGTTCCCATTAGGTTAAGATTATGTAGTCAAAAAAATAGCCCACGTTATCAAAAGTGAACTAATGGTACTTATCCTCCCATTAGCAGTAAGGAAAAGTTAGAGAGAGAGAGAGAGAGAGAGAGAGAGAGAGAGAGAGAGAGAGAGAGAGAGAGCAAATAACTCTCAATTCCTCTCCTCCTTCCATTCACAATCGCTATCGAAAGAAGAAAAAGTATTAGATGATTTAGAAAAGTTTCTTAACCCTAAGAAATAATACCTGATTATCTTTATAAATGGAGTTTTTAACTTTGTTACTCCTTAAAGAAATAAAGAAAAGCAGTAAAATTAAGTTAATAGAGTGAATAAATAAATTTATTATGGCAAAAAAAACAATTACTAAAAAATTTGCTTTTCCTCCTAAGGAAGAAATGGAAAAAGTAAGAAAAAGAATAGCCAATCCCAATCATAGGAGAACAAATATTTTTCTAACTCCGTGAGCTACCCCTTTGGAAAAAGCCAAATATAAAATCTGCCAAAATATTTTTTCTTATCAAGAGAAAAATCATCTTTCAGAAAAACAGTTATTCCAAAAACTAGGAATTAACAAAAAAGAAGGAGAATATATTTTATTCTGCCATATTGACAAGTTTACCCTTGATGAGTTAATCAATCATGCAAATAGGTTGTATATTCCTTGTGAAGTAAAAATCAAACTTCCTTATGAACAAGAAAAAACCGCCGCAGAAGCCCACTAATTTAAGAAGTTATGATTGTGATATTACAATCAAAGATCAACGACTAACTAAATTAGAAATTAGCCCTGATTACGAAGTAAAAGTTAAGGAATTTGTGGTGGGATTAAAGAAAAAGGGGATTAAACTTTCTAAACTGGAATTAACCAAGGTTTTAATTACTGATGATTTAATTAGAGAACTGGTTCAGAAATTAAATGGCAAGAAAAAAATCATATTTGAAGGTAGATATTACCAATATACTTATTACTCCGCCGAACCACTTTATAACCAATGAGATTATGCTTTTAGATTAGTTTGATGTTTAGATGATAATAATCCTAATATATTTGGGGTAATGGACTGTTATTGAAGAAGTAAATATAATAAAGTTGATTGACCTTGGATAAAAAAATAGTTTTTACTTGGTTTTTTCCTTGTAAAAGAAAATTTTTTATTTAACTCTTTTTCTCTTTTAAAACTTTAAAATTATATTTAATATTTACATAAATGAGGTTTATGTCAAAAAAAAAAAAAAAAAAAAAACAATAATTTCTTCTGTTACTTAATTCCAGTAAATACTGGATAATAAAAAACCATGACAGAATTAGAAAATATTAAATCCTTAGAAAAATACGATGCTTGAAACAAAGCCAAAGCAAGCCGAAAAAGTTGAATA